ACGAAATAGTGGTGTCTATGGTTCCTCCTGCTATTGGCATTCTTGAAATGCAAATTCCTGTTGAAGAACCGAATGTTGAATACTGGTGTTTGGAATACAGACTATCAGAGGATGAGTAGTAGTTTAGTACTTTCTCCATCTTATAGCTGCTTGTGGCAAATGGTTACAACGCAGCCATCGGGACTGCTGTCTCTAAAGCCTTACAGTGCACTGAAACAGATGGTGTCTGCATATTCTTGCCTGAGTTGAGGAGACTGCGTACACGGTGTCACTGTACGCTCTGTTCTGTACGTATGATTCAGACATGCGTATATCGGTTAATGCAAGTCCAGTTTCAGTCCAGGTTTTACAACCATTAACCATGCACTTTCGTGCGCTGTCTTATGACTGCCACAATGAATTGCTTGATTGGGAGAAAAAAGTTGGAGGTCTCATATGTATTACCATCCTGATAGTCGTTTGCGGAGATGGAGTGGTATCATGGTTAGTAAAAAGCCCCGAGTTTCTTGTTTTCTACTCTGTACCAAGTCGAATGGTCTAACTGGGTGTGGATGTATATTTAAACGTCTATCTGTTTGTTTTGACTGCTTGGTTTACCCCCCCCCCCACCCCGTAGCTACACCCGTACAATATCCACCGCTTATGCGACTTTTAGAGCTACACTGGCAGTAATCTAATCCTTTCCCCCAAAACTGTTTTTACCTTTTCCCAGGAGCTCCATTGACGAGGTCGTGGACAGTGTGGAAACCACCGAGGAACTTCTTCAATTGCTCCTACTTACTTCGCTTCATCCGTCAACAAAGCAGTTGCAGCATTCGCTCGGGGTCCTTTTTCCGATCAGCGTCCCGACAGAGGTGATCGAGTCAGTGAACCAAAATAGCGTGACATCTGTTTGCGAGGTCATGAAGAATGCCATGGTGTGGACAATCAATTGGCTGCTTTCAACAGGCTCTCAAGGGACCGAAGCGGATTGGAATAAGATTTCCGTTTTGATGACTACCTTGGTAATTGTTGCCTTCTTCCTTTTATTCCCCCTTAGCTATTTTTGTGAATAGATCTTGGTTATATTGATAGTTGGTACTGCTTTCTTATCAGAAGAACAGTGCTTGTTTATCTTGTCTTTGTAAGATGTAATCGTGATCCGGCTGCAGCATTATCATGTCGTTAGCTCTTACGTGAATTGCATTTTTCATCTACGTTCACATCACTGTTTCATCTTTGTATTTCAGATCAAACTCCGCTCATTGGTTCATCGTGCAATTGAATCCCCAGTAAGCTCTCAACTTATTTCACCTTCTGTTCTGATGCTATAATGAAAGTTATGACATATTACTCAGCTGGGTGATTCCACTGTAAAACCACGTGTTTTCGTTTTGCAGTAAACAGGACCAATACCCTGAGCTCCGGTATTTAAACGAAAAAATCTGCTTGGAGCCCCTTAAGAACAATCATACATTATTGCGCTGGTTGACAAGAAAGTGCGTTGGTGGGGTTTTGGTGAATGGGTTAAGATTTAGGACCTTAAGCATCAATCCAATAGAGATAACTACTTGGAATTTTTAAAAATTTGAATTGAACAATCCCCAATATCAAATTTCAGTGATTGGTGGGTTTGAAAACATGTTCTTATTTATTCCTTTCACTATGGCCTCCTCGATCAGCTGATAGGGCACCATGCACTAATGCATCAGTTGCACCAATATGCGGGTTCGAGACCGTAGTTCACATGATCAGTATCCAACTCTACCCTTTCCATTCTAAGATCTCTACAAACTGAATAAGCGTTTATTGCCATAAACTGGAAATTTTGCCCACAACCCGGTAAACTTTGAGTTCTCAGTTGCTGACCCAGATTTCCGGATTGATTATAATTTATATATTATGGTGAAATTACTTCCACCGGGAACGCTACTTCTTTCGTACAGTTGGTGTGCTTGGAATCTGATAGTATACCAATGCGGTAAAATTGAGCTTCCAACAAAAATGAATCTCAACACTTCCCAGCTTTTCAGCGCACATCTTATTTACACGACGAATTCCTCGTACAAACAAATCAAATCCCCCATTACTCTCTGCCAAAAAATAAATTTGTGGTTAATGTGATCTGCACATTGTTCTGATCAGATGTAGTTTGTCGTATGCCAACCAAAGCTGTCCTATGGTTATCCTATTGGCGCTGATTTTTAAGATAATACGGGAACAGTTTCATTACTACTCGCAATGGAATCAATATAAAGAATCAAAAGGTTCTCCTTATGAACGAGAAAAAGGTCAAATGTTTTTGTTTATAGTTGTTGGTTATACACATCGTTGTCGTATAGATGTATCGAATTCGTGCGAACACACGCGCGCAGTGTACACTCTGTGCACACTGACCGTTCCCGCAGCGGCTCACGTACGTACTGGTTTTGCAATCCGGCACACACGCTTGCTCACTCATCGTACTGTTTCGTTTCAGTGCGATGCTTTCACCCATCAAAGTGATCGTTTTCCGCACAGATGTACGATCTCAGTTCGATATTTGCTACGTAATCTTTAACACAGGCGATGGTGTTATTATTCCACATTGATTTGTCCTGAAAGAGAAGAAAGGTTTCTTGCGTGTCCTGTTTAACCCATCCACATTATTTTCCCTTCAAAATTAGGGAATCGGTCGTACTCTTTGTAAGCCGTGCAGGTCAGGTCACGGGGCTGGGATATTACTCGTGTAATTATAAAATGAGTTCAAAACCAACGTGGGTAAAGGTTTGGAGGTCAAAGATTAGTACTTGTTTTGCGGACTACGCTCAGACAGTCAATTGTCGGGATTATTCACAAGCGTTATGTGTCCCATTTTTATGATTCTTCTGTCATTGATACTGTTCTGGCTTGTTGTTTGCCTGTAGTGCACACTAACACGAAGCCCTACGAATTATCCTTTATTTCTAGGTTTCTTCTAAATTCCTTGATCAGCTTACTGCCATTCAGTTCTCAATGGCTCTTCTGATTCTGCTTGAAATCGATCGATTGCTGGATATTCGTTTACAAGATGTACCCAGTATTATGCCTCAATGGACGTATCGAGTTCCATCTCTATGCACAAGTGGATGCAATCAAACAATTCGATTGGAAACTCTGTCACAATTGCTTGATCTTACACTCTCATTGTTTCCCGAGGGTACAAGTCCAGTAACAGCTCCTCCTATGCTCCACGTTTTGTCGGACCCAAGGTGTATGGATCAGCCAATCATCACTGATGGTAAGCTTATATATTGCTGTAATTCTCTTNTTCTTTACTGATTTTATTGTTCGTTATCAGCGGTGATTAATTCAGCAGTTTATCTGTGATGACTCTCTCTCTCTCTCTCTATATATATATATATATATATCACGTCCGAGGCCAGTTTGTGTGCCAAATAAATCACGGTACAATAATCTTTATAAAAAGAAAAAAGTTCCACGATTGGTTTGTAGGCGGAATACTACCAGGCTACCCAGGCCTAGGCAGGTGAATTTTCTTGGGCAATTCACATCCAGAGCCATCGGATAGCAAAAGTCTGACCTGCAAGGCTGCGGAGCGGTGTGTCCTGTTAATCGGATCGTAAGTCCTTTTGACGAGATCAAACGTCTAAGGTGCCCAATACACCTCGATGCCCAGTTGAGCCGGTGATCACTGCCACAACCCAGGTGTCGATGCGTATGGTTTACACGCCTCCTCTTGGTTGGCTTAAAATCAGTTTCAGTTTG